CGACAAACCTTCGCCCCCCACCGCCCACCCTGGAAGGGAACCCTGCGCGCACCTATGGTGGTATCTACCCAATGTCTGTAATGCCTACTTGTTTATGACGCCCACCTGTGTCCCCCAAAAATGATGGCCTCGACCAAGAACAACTTCGCCGTTAAAAAGCTGCCATAGGTGCTTTCTCTGTGTGATAACTTAAAAACAAAAATTACTAGGCCGCAGCACATCATTCTCTAGGTCACGCACACAATTTGTAGAAAGTTCTCCTATAGTTCTTGCTTCAAAGGGACACTAAAGAATAACAATGCCTTGGTTTATATTGACAGACACCGATGCTATACGTTTCACAATCAGAAGTCCATTATTAGCGGCGAAAATGAAGTTTCATTTTTAAATCTCGCGCCGAAATCTCCAAGCGTGACGTCAGAAATTTCAAGATGTATTTTTGGTACTTTCATGGCATTGGCTCGAAGAAATTTCCTGCAACTTCGTGTATGAAAATTTACTTAATTTTTCTTGATTGGAAGCCGCGTAGGACCTAGAAAACACGTGCGAAATTTCTTACGTCATGGTGTGATAGTATCAAGGTGACGTCGTCACCTGCCTTTTCTTTTTGAGCGTTTTCTGACACATCTCGAATACTAAGTGTCATGTCGCAGAAAGAGTGTTGATTGATATGTGGGGTTTAACGTCCCAAAACCACTATATGATTATGAGAGACGCCGTAGTGGAGGGCTCCGGAAATTTAGACCACCTGGGGTTCTTTAACGTGCACCCAAATCTGAGCACACGGGCCTACAACATTTCCGCCTCCATCGGAAATGCAGCCGCCGCAGCCGGGATACGAACCCGCGCCCTGCGGGTCAGCAGCCGAGTACCTTAGCCACTAGACCACCGCGGCGGGGCGCAGAAAGAGTGTTGTTTTCATAATTGCGATATTGTACTTTACTAAGACGCCAAAGTTGATTTTGCTCTTTAGCGTCGCTTTAAATGTTAGCACCACTATGCTATATACATGCCATGATATACTAATGATATTGGAAACTTAGCTTTACGGTCTAGCTTTTTGTTGTCATGTTTATAACCAAAAGGAAACGAGCAGTCCGTAGAAACAGATTATATGTGGAGCCTAAATATTTAAATCAGATGAGCTTGCGAGTTATCGGCGAGGTTCACGGCACTTTTCTGTTTATGGACCTTGTTGGTCAAGATTTCAGGCGTCCGTGTATATAGAGCAACGATAGCTATATGCGCGGCGGAAATTGGTCTTGTGTCAATTTGTCCCGTTTCTGAAAGTGTGAAGACCACTTTGAAATGGTAGCTTAAGCATGACGATAGTTATAGCACGAGAACAAAACGACGACACAGAGACAAGAAGGACACGAAGGACATGAGCGCTTCGTGTCCTTCTTGTCTCTGTGTCGTCGTTTTTTTCTCGCGCTATAACTATCGTCATGCCATACCAACTAGCTCAAGCTGCCACACTTCTAGGTAGCTTAAGCCACAATATATTAAGAAACATTTTTTGAGGATTGAATTTATTTCGCAACAGAAATTGTTAAAATAAAATCAAGTATTCGTTTTTTTTTTATTCTATGTGATGGCCCTGCATGCTGTCTTTGCGTCTACCTTGTGTTTATTTTACTTTTTGATCCAGTGAGAAGATAACTGCCCCAGTGTATAGTTTCACATGGCGTGGCACACGTGCATGCGCAAATACGTGCGGATATAGCACACACACACACACACACACACACACACACACACACACACACACACACACACACACACACACACACACACACACAAGCACTCTTGGAGGCATCATTAGCAGGTATAAAAATAGTTCACCTTTATTGGCCTCATTGCGAGTACTCCCACTATTCACAAAATTATTCACATCTGACCAGCATTGGGCTGTATTTACATAAAAATATTGCGATATGTCCCGGACATTTCATATGACACTTGCAAAACGTAAAGCGAAACACCTGACAGCTTACAAAGACACGTAACAATGTACCGCTGGTCGGTTATGTTTTAGCAAAAAAAAATTGTGACGTAACGAAAGCGTAAGTGAAAGGGAACGAATGCGATCTGCGTGTTGTCTATACATCTTTTTATGTTATGAATGTACAATCGGCCAGTGTAAAGCAGGGAGGAGAAAAAAATGCGAGGACAGATTGGTATACATATTGAGCACACAGACAAAAGATAGCTATCAGAAAAAAAAAAAAACCGCGAACATACGAGCTTACTGCAGCAATAGCAAAAACAAAAATAAAATAAAACACAATTGCACGCTCCAACACAAAGCAATGCCCGCATTACTGCAGTGACAAGATTCTGGCTGGATTATCATTTCGTGTATAAAAGCACGCGAGCGTGTGTAGCAACTCGCGGGTGTCAACGGTACAACGTACACCTGCGCGCAAATTTGTCACCGAGACGTAGTTCATTGCACTTGGGTGAATATGCCACTCGTAGATGTGTCGTCACTGAGTTGGAAGGGAAATACATAAATATGCGGGCTTCAGAAACGACGATCCATATCACAAGGTCGTAAGGGTGCGGTTAAAGGCCGCTCTTTGGAGTACACATATTTTGGCACACTGAAATGCAATGAATGCCCCTGATCTTGCCACGAAGACGGTGAAACATGCGGTCTCGTACGAAATCGCGTCTCTCTCAAGTGGTAAAGAACTGAAAAATAATGTATGCTGACTGCTGTAAAAAGTGTTTTCATATATTGCACTTTCTTTGGTTGTAGTTCACAGTCTAAAACGACACCAGATTACAAAAAAAATTACTACTGTTCTATCAATAGATTACTCTTCTCAAATACCAAGAAGCATCATTATTGCTACAAGGACACTTCGATGAGCAAAAAAAAATGATGTCGATGCCATCATGTCATAGATTTTGATGGCAGCTGTCATGGGCACGGGGCAATATATTATCATTTAGCATCAATAATTTATTGCACTTTGTAAGTCCCGAGAACGACACATACGTAACAACTTTAGTGGGGCATTTCATCGGATAACATGGCCGAAATACAAAAAAAAAACGTAGCTCGAGTTGTGCGTCGTGGCCTTGACGACGTTGCCGCGTTCATCTTTTGATGCGAGATTTCGAAAATAGTTAATCGTAACTAGTTTGCAAATGACCCTAAAGTGATTTGCTAATTAATTTGTATCTCTATCTGAGAGGTTGCGTGCTGTCCACTCTGTATTTTCTAAGATTTTGTCAATTTCGTTGTTTTCTATTGCTCTTGCTCTATATCGCAACAGTTTTCCGTAGGTGTATATAGAAACTCAGCGTAAACCGATCGCCTTGAACGCTTACTCGTCAAAGACATTTACCATATGAACTAAGTGTATATGCCTATACTATACAGTTCATTTACTTTTTGAAAGAGCGATATCACTTCGCCGCCTTCAAATCTTACGTTCTTTAATTTTGTACACAAGTCTTCCATTGTTTGATTTACATTTTGTGCTGTGTTACTTTTCTCTGAAACCCGCATCGTACAAGTAATTTCTTCGGTACACGGTAGTAAGCACTCTCGATCGTTTCACACTTGTTGATCTTCGAGCCAAGGATATTTTGAAATAAAGTACACTTTTTCTCTTGTTCAATACAGCTTTACGCTTGCCCATTCTGTTTCCTTCCTGACCGTCCTTTCACGGCACGCACCTAATCGCCATTTAGTCCGTTAGCAGAACAATGCAAGATCATCTTGTTGATCGCGCATGCGCTCACAGACGCAGCAACCGTTGTAGGACTGCGGAGGTCAAGCGTTCACACGGGCACGTGCGTTCCTTCGTTTGTCTTTGTTTCTGTGAGCTATGCGTGACCAGCAAGATGGCAAAGCTCAACTTCAGTTTGCGCTGACATCACAGATTCGGGTGTCAGATCAACTGCTGGCCTCATACAGCATACCAGAGCAGGCCTGTAGCCAGGAATTTTGTTCAGGGCAAAAGAGGCGGGGGGGGGGGGGGGGGGTCACGCATTTGCTGAGGACTTTGGCTATTTCAGAAAGAAACCTATTTTATTCTTCATATATTCGATGAAACACCCCACTCCATCCATCAGAGTGGCGTGGGGAGATGGGGGGCTAGGGAACATCGCCTACATGCCGTTGAGTCACAAAACACCTGATAAACGGACTGAAACTGACCATTCGGTTTATAGTGCGGATGAACCGCGTTGAATACGCGTTTGGATGTGATGCCTTCTGGCTTTGACCCTCGTACTCAGACAAGCTCCTTGACTTGACTTGCAACCGCCTCAAGACAGCGGGTCTGAAGGGTGTTTGTGCCGCCTTGGCACCGCGCCTTAGGACAACGCGTTGGAAATCTGTTTGCGCTGCATTAAATGCGGTGACAAGCTAAGTTCAAGTCAAGAAGCGTTTCTGAATAAGGAGGAATAGCTCGAGATTCTTGTTGTTTCTTTGGTATAACCGGAGAAATTATGCAGAACAAGCTACCCAGGCTGCAAGTAATACTGTCTGAGTAGCCACCATGACTGAATCGAAGTAAAGCGTGCAGTATGGTGTCTGTAACCACCGAACATTTCGGGTGTTCGTGGCAGCTCTAGTCCAGGGCGCAGCAATAACAGTTGGACAAATAAAGTTCATTCAGCTTAACTCAAAACATCGTATTGAAACCTGCGGGCTTGAGCAGGGTGCACAACAAGTCGTAATGCCTATGGTGGAATTCAGAGCACGTACTTGGTCAATACTAAGCAGTTCTCACAAACAACGAAACATTGAGAATCTGTCAAGTCACATGTCGGCAAGGCATAATATGCACAGTCGGCCGCGAAAGTTTGTGGAACCTAAGGCACTTATAAACCTTTGGCATACTATTACATGATTGGCTGTAACACATAGCGCTGCACTCCGCGTCGTATGTTCTGCAAGGCAGAAGCTCCGCGTTCCATCGTTGCCTTCGCCAGGTTCATGTGGCTCCATTCGTATCGACGAGTCCCCGCGAAGTCTTCGCAGCACAGTGTGAATGACGTGTGGTCCGGCCATGGAAGAAAGCACCTGCAAGTACACAAACAAGAAACCGGTGAGATTTATGGCCCGGCAAGATTAAAACGGGATATATAAGCTGATGTATGGAATACATGTCACAGGATCACTATTAATATTAACTGACTTCAATGTAATAATTTTGCTATAAATTTGTAACATGTCCTTTAATGACCGTCCATATAAATTATAATGTTGATTCCGTTAACTATCCTATCTATGTACAAGGTGGTCGTAAAACAACTGATAACAGCGTGCGAGTAGAAAAACAAGCAAGTTCTCACGTACGCTCTATCATACGCACCCTGATTTCACCTTTGCGGACGCGTAGAGTGTCACCAATAAAAATCAGTGGGGCACCATTACTGACTCCTTAAGAGCTCGTAAATGGGGCGAAGCAAGACACAACGGCAGATGCGAGTGCGAAAACGATTAAGGCGCTCCTCGAATCGACGCCAGCGTGCGAGAGCGATACATTTCCCACCCGCGAGTTCGCGACAATAAAAGCGCCCTCATCCTTCGTACGTCCGATGCACGCATGCGGGGCCTCGCCGGTGGGGCGTTATAGATACCCGCGAGACACCCATGAACACGCCTATTCGGCGCGCAACAGAGCGCACCATCACACAACGTATATATACAGGAGCGTGGTTGCAAAGCCGTATATAACGGCGCCCTCGCTATCAACGCACTCCATCTTTCCGAGCGAACGGGATTGATGTGAGGGATGCGTACGGCGTATCAGACGTGCTCAGCCAACTCTGGCAGCGCCCTGCTGCCCCCCGAGGCGCCGCGACTAAGATGAATGGGCCCCGTTTGCGGCTTCGAGGACAGCGTCGAGGATGAAGAGGAGGTCGGGGCAAGCTTCTTCGGAAGCTCATCCTGCGAAGTCACCGCGACCTATATACTCTTTCACGATTCAGTTGTTGTTTTGTATTTTATTTTGTTTTTGTTTTTTATTGCGCACCCTCCCTATGACGTCCCAGCGGGTTGGCGCCGATAGGGTGGACGGCCGGCGACAAACGTGGCATCATAGCTCTTCGCGGCCCTAAAGACTTCGCGCTGTGCGATAGTTTACTATAATGGTGTGTTTATTTCCGTTGATTTGAGGACTTCGGTTAAACAGTGTAATAAGTATTGGGCGTGAAAACCATATCGCCAAAGTACCCTGTCCGGAAACGGAAAGTGATCACATATAGCTTATATGTATTTAGTAGATGGAACTAGCTTTGGGTCTTGAGTATATCTGTTCCGTCTTCCGTGCCCCCTCTATGGCTCCGTTTAAAAAGTGGAGCAGAGTAATCGTGTTAGCTGTCCCTACTTACGAGTTTGACGCACATATAGTACACATTGGCTTGATATGGCAAGGTGTTAGCTTTGACGACGTGTACTTATCAGCCGAAACGGTCATTTCTAACGACGAATGGGATGAAAAATTGCTAGCCACCGTTCTTACCGTCTAGAGCTTCTAGAGTTCGCACCGTCTAGAACATTCAGTGTTTCTGCGATGTAAACGTTGCGAAAAACATCCTTGTGGTGTTCAAGACTCGCATAGATAAAGGGAAGGAACGGGCGAGATAGGAAAGGCAGGGATGTTAACCAGTGTACAACCATGGAGTCTTGAAAGAACTTCCTGCTATCGGTTAAGAAAGTACTGCGAGAGAAGTTGTATTTCCTAGAAGGTAGAGGAACTGAACACTTCTACACAGGTATACAGTTCGTGCAACTCTCGCGCTGGCGTATACATATAGCGTGAATGGAGTCTGAAATGGAAGAATCCCCACAACTTGCTATACTTATAGGGTTAGTGCGGAGTGCACATGCGCGGTTTATAACCGAGTTTCGAAAGACGTGGCGTACACAAGATTGCACTATACGGGAAACGGGAGTAATGCACCAACTGGAGTTTCAGCGGGAGTCGACAATCGAGGATCTCCCATTGTAAGCGAAGGCGACACACACAAAGCGGTCTCCCGCAAATGCGTCTTCCTTGCTCGGGCTCAACAGTGCGCTGTCATTAGGGGGAGGCCGTTGGGCGCCGAGATCATCGTCGCCGGGAGGACGAGTGACGACACCCGATACGTGACGGCGTACTCTGGAAGCCTCGCTCCCATTAGAACCGCGGGCCGCAACCGTCGGGGAGAGCCTAGCTTTCGTGCCTGCGCTGTTCGGAGAGAGACTTCCGTGCGCGACTGTCTTCGGGTTTCTTGGGACAAGAAAGCATCCTCTTTTTGTTCGCGATCTTTTCGCTTTGTTTTAGTTTTTTTTTATACCGTGTGGGCCTCGTCTGCAGTGCGTGCCTTCGTCTTTCCTTAAACCTTAGTCAGCTCCATGTTTCTATGTCTGTCTTACATTTTTTCTTCTTTTTTGTTTCTTTCAACTCGGGCAAAGTTCGACTCTAAGCTGCGTTGTGCGGTGGCAGCAGACACTCGTCGACTTAACGCCCCTCGTCATCACCAGACGTCTTCGCATTCGTTCGCTGATTGCAGCTTTCTTTCTTTCTTTTTTTCTTTCTTTCTTTCTTTCTTTCTTTCTTTCTTTCTTTCTTTCTTTCTTTCTTTACTGCATATTACCACCACTGTACGCGAACTGACGACTCTTTGCGCGCCTCAACGTCACGGCTCACGAGAGAAGCGATGAGAGCGGCAGCCGTCTCAGTTGTTTTGCTGAGTGCTTGTATTTGGTAGCTTTACGAAGTAGGCGGCGATAAGACCACCGTTATGTGGCTGCTTCAGTCAAGCTGCGATTGCGCGCTGCGCTAGGCTGCGCCTTCTCCTCTTCTCTTTCGGCACCTCCCCGTACGGCTGCTGAGTAAACTACACACACTTCATAACTCTTTACTTGGTTTTCTATCTTCTCCTTCCTGCGAGAAAACTGGGTGCGGCAGCGCTGATTCGATCACCACACACAGTCTGCGTCATGACTCGTCATCGTACGGATACAGTTTCGTCTGCCCGGAGTGCCGGAGCCACGATGACGCATCTTGTATATACGCTCCGTTTGCGCATATACGTCGGCTACATCCGCTTTAAGCGAAATGGCACACGAAACTAAAGATTGTTGGGAACTTGAACGCATAGAGTTCCCTATATATGCACCATTGGGAACTTTGGCTCTAGTTCCTAAGGAAGCTTCAACGCATGGCGCTTCAGCCACCATGGAAATGATGGGCAGTGCTCAAATTTGTCTAATCTTCGTAACTTCGACTCCGTTTGGCTTCGCATGACCTGGAGCCACTTTGCCACGAGACGACAATCAGCAAAATGTTCAGCAGTTGCGCTTCCCCACTTTAGTTAAAGCTCACGAATTCAAATCGGGTCATGAAATTCACGATGATCTGTTGTTTCATTCGAGGCAAAACTATAACACAGAAATCAACAAAGCAACAAGTATACGTTCAAAGCCCGCAAGCACGAATACTGCGCAAATCCGCGTACCATATAGTCGCTGAACGATCGCAATACCTCAGTCCCCTCTAGTTAACCTTGGAAAACTCTGATTGAAAGATCAGACACACGCTATCCGCGGACACTTCGAGTGGTTTCAACATTACTTCGAAGGTTTCTTAATCACAATGAGCAATAGATACGTACGACACTATAGACGCTGAATGGTTGATGAATACTGCTAGTTGGTCGTACACCCTTCGATGAAAACTTCACCCATAATGGGAAAACTGAATGAAATTTGGCTAAACACGCTTGCTAAATGAGATATGTAGCTGCATAGCCTTACGCATGAAGCCAGCCTTGCAATGCCAAGTGGGCAGTTACGTTATAGAGTGTCGTGCAAGTTTTGAGCGTGTTTTCGAAGGTGCACTTGCTAGACTTACCTTTTAGGGTGTCTCGCGAAGCGTGACTTTGCGTTTTTATCAGTCATTTTGATTAATTATATGTTCATTAAACGAGCAATGAAGGAGCGCCTTTTTGCGACTGTGGGCGCAGTGAAGCTGTGTAAAGACTGGTCCCAATATCGACCATTTTATGTTTAGCCAAGATTCGTGTCGAGACTTGAGAAGCTAAACAAACGAGTTGATTTGTCGTAATATCCAATCAGTTGACGGTGGGGCGCCGCGATGTTATTTGACTTTTTTTTAGCCTCAATGCAAACTCAATCTGGGCACAATGCGTAAAGCATGAGCATGGCACAAAACTTCGCGTATGTAATAAACAGGCAAAAATATTGAATAGTGCCTGCCGCAATATGCCACAATAGCTAATACAAGTCGAGTCATCACAAAGCAAATAAAGAAAAAAAAATGCTGAAGCACAAGTAGCACTGGAGCATAGATGGAATTGAAACATCAAATGAAGGCATTTAGAAGAGCAAAAGTGCAGATATAAATAATATCTGTAGGCAGTAATTATGTAATAGCATCAATGAATTCACTGCGATGGGTATATGTCATTTTATAGCTCAGCGTAAGGCTGGGGGTTTGACATTCAAATAACACATTCAAATAAACATTCAAATAAGGGTGTAATGCAAGAGCGGTCAGTTGCCCTGAATCAAATGCACTCCGCTAAAATGTTACTCATAATTAAGCGTGCGCATGTACTTTCGAATTCTGCAGGGGATCAACTGCTATACCATAGTGCTTCATAAAGAAAGCAACAGAATACCAATCAAGAAGGGTGTAAGGCAGAGGACACAATCTCCCCAATGCTATTTACCGCGTGCTTACAAGAGGTTTTCAGAAGCCTAGAATGGGAACAGTTAGGGATAAGAGTTAATGTAGAGTACCTTAGTAACCTGCGCTTCGCCGATGACATTGCATTGCTGAATAACACAGGGGACGAATTGCAACTCATGATTACGGAGTTAGACAAGGAGAGCAGAAAGGTGGGTCTTAAAATGAATCTGCAGAAAACGAAAGTAATGTACAACAACCTCGGAAAAGAGCAGCGCTTCAAGATAGGTAATGGTGCACTTCAAGTTGTAAAAGACTATGTCTACTTAGGGCAGGTAATAACCGCGGAGCCGAACCTCGAGATTGAAGTAAGTAGAAGAAT